TAAGCTCAAGTTTGTACTCCGATGTTCAGGTGGGTACCATGTTGAGATGGGTACGAAAGGTGTGTTTTTTTTTTAATTTTAAAATAACAATTTAACAATTGACTAATGCAAAAAAAATTAAAAGAATTAAACCTTTGATACAGAGTTCGTCCAGAAAAATTATTTGAAAATTATTAATTAAACAAAAAATATATAAAAACACAGTAAATTTACTCCTCTAACGGATACTGATAACTAAAACACTAACTCCCGAATCATTGACCGAAAATAAATACAGCTGTAAACCACTTGATCAAGGGATTTCCGCTACGTAAAACTTGTAAATTAAGGTATTATCAATTAATGTGCGATAAGTTATCAGTTACCCTGTACATTAATACTCTGGTTGTAAATATGTATTGTTGAAATTTAGGTTAAAGATCACCATAGATTTCACATATAAGCCAATCAACATTTAAAAAAAAGTTTGTAAAACCTTGCTCAAATCCTACTTTTGGTGGGCTGGTTCACTGTGCTTGTTTTTGTTATTTGCATTCCATTGAACTATCCCTGATAGGTAGGTGAAGTGCTCGTTTGGCAAACGATACTAGTGCCACAGTGTTTATGGGGTCTGTTCGTACAGTAAGCAGAGCTGGAATTTACAGGTTAAGTTACCCAATCTTGAAACCCTCAAACTACGTTAAGATATAACGACAATCGAAACTGTAATTGACATGCAATCGGTATGAAACAAAGAACCTTACCTATACAAAGATTCTACATGCATCGCATCCTCAATGCACAAAAATACGGGAGACAGGACGTAAAATCTTGATGAGTCAAGATTTAAATTTTAACATACCAGATGCGCTACATGGCGGAGAAGAAATAAATTGTAATAAAATGTGTATGGTACTTCAATGCAAATGGCACACTGAGTCTTGAAAAACAATTGAATAACTGTAAGTTGGTAATTACTAATTACAAACACAAGATAGAACAGAAAAAACTGCAAAGCTTCGACGGCTAAGAGAATATTGGCTTCATAAAACTTACGGAATACTCCGACTTCACCTACACCCGTTTAGAGTCTTTATGGTAAACCCTTAAAGACTATATAAAATTATTAAGGAAAGAACTGACAAAAAACGTGAAAACACAAATAAAAAAAAATGAAAAAAAATGTCAGCAATGGAATTTTTTTTTTAATTTTTGTTGGAAATGAAAATAGAAATTTAATGAAAAAAACAAAATAGAAAGAAAAATTAAATTACGTTAATTTTAGAATAATTATACAACTGTATTAAAAAAACTGTGTTAAAAAAATTCTAATTGTGTCGAAAATATGATGTATTAAAGAGTAAATTAACAAATTAAATATTAAAAAATAATTAAAGAAGTGTCCATTGCCGGCGTTTTTCTACATTAACTGATAAGAAAAACATCCACCAATGAATACTTAAATCGAAAGGATAATTATATAAATTTTAAAAATTTATATAATTAAAATGTGTGTCAGGTAAAATATTAAAAAATCAGAAAACAAAAGTTTATGTAAAAAAAGTTATATTAACCATTAAATTATGGATCGATCCGTAGGTTCGAACCAGATTAAAATATGCAAATTTAATGGAATAATGATAACAAACATATGTCGTTGAACCTCCGATCGGCGAAATCACGATCGAAGAAATGTTATGTTTAAAGCCACCACTGTAGAGGTATTCTCGAATTATTTCCGGAATGCTAACATAACTTTGGATGAGTGCGGTTAGTGCGCTTGGTCATTTACAATTGGTACGTTAAGGGCGTAGTTGGCAAATTTATTCCGTGTTCGTGAAACAAACAGTCCGACGTTACCATCCTCAAGAATGCATGGATGCCATGGCATAGTTAATATTTATTTCATGGATGTTATACAAATATAAAATAAAATATGTAATTCCTTGGACATTCCTTCAAATGCGGCGGAAGAACTTGACCCCTTTGCCACATAATCTGAAAAAATAGAGTATTGCAAAAATAAAAACAAATCTGCCATTGGCCCGCACGAATGAATTTCTACGTGAAAAGGTTGTCGCTGTGTTAAAGTAATAGCGTCCCGGTGTGTTCTTCTAATAGGAATTTCGGCGTGCCTTCGCCTAGAAGACCGTAACAATACGTTCACCGATACGCCGTTGTTATTGAAATTTGGAAAATGTTGTGAATTAGCTAAAGGAGGGACAGTTTCTTCACGCAAAATTTCATCCCCGTCGCATCGTTGCAAAGCAGGACAGGATGACAATGAAGTAGAATTAGTTGTCTATATTTCTGTTGATGTTGAAGGTGATCTTCGGAGATAGGTTGTGTCTGGCACTCCTCAATCAAAAATAGAAGTGGCATAATAACTGATAAACCACGTAAAATGATATATCCCGCTCTGGGGGTTATCAAAGACGTTAATGGAAAACGATGTAAAATGTCCCGCAAACGCGACCGGTTCGTCCAATAACATGTTGTGAATCGGTATAATTAAATGGCGGGCAATTAAGGACTCAAAAATTACGTTATGTTACAACAACAATTATTTCTGGCTAATCTAAAAAATATAACACTAACCGATTTCTAGTTATATGACTGATTATTAACAAGCATAATTATATCGATTCGCTTCTATAAAAAATACACAAAATTTAAAAAATTATAAATTACTATGAAAGCCGAAAAGTCTGGAAAAAATTCGTAAAGACTTACAAATTTTGCATATTTTAAATATTAAAAGCAAAATACAAAGGTACAAAAACGACAATATTTATGAAAGTTCTTACGTTATTAATTGTCCCCGTCAACAAAAAAATAAATGACATATTTTATATCAAAACTTCAAGTTTCAAAAACTTAAAATTACGAATAAAAAAATATAAAAGAGAAATAATATTAGTAAATGTTTTTTCTACTCCCTTCAGCAAAATACCTAATTATACAACGATCTAGCCTGCGGAGAGTGTCATTTTACATCGTCAGTCTTATTTCCCACAGATCCGGGCCACTTCGGACATTTCCTGGATATTACCGCAAAGGTTTGGGAGCAATCGGATGTTTTCGGATATTATACCCACCAAACAAACTCGTGACTGAAATGCCGTTTACCACACTTGTTACAAAATATACTATTACAAAAGATAAACATTGACAATGTAAAAGCCGAATGATTTCGGACCTATTTTTGAACCATTCATCACCTAATACAACGAAATTAACAATACCATTCAAATCAATGTTTTATATTTTCTAATTGTATAAATAAAAAAAAAAATACATTAAGAAAAAACAAACGATGAAAATGTAGCAGCAATTAAATTAATTATAATCGAATGTAATTGGTTATTAAATAAAATGTTGCAACAAAACATTTTTCTTATTTTTAATCATATAAATTTAACATCCGTTTGTTAATAAAATAATTCTTAAATAAATTTTAAAAAAATTCAATATTCATATATAATTTCAATTTTTTTTATTACTGTAATTGAATAGAAAAAATTTAAAATGCACTGAGAAGGTAAAATATGAAACAAATTCATTTTATAATAAAGAAAAGTACAGTAAATAATAAATAAACAAGGTGGTTCAAAAAGTAGATGTGAATACCAAGTTCCCTTTTTAAATGGCACACCACTTACGCTTATCCTCTTGCTTATTATAAGCAGAAGAATAAAAAGCAGAAATTTAATATTGAACTCAGAAGAAAAAAAACTCAAGAAGAAATTGCTAGTTGGTTGAGAGAGAAATTGAGAGAAAATTTATAGAAACAGGGTATGTAAAAGATCGTCGAATGATGATGTTAGCCAACGTGCCAATAGCCAACAGCTTGGCGTTTTTAAAAAGAAGAAAAGTATTATCCGTCATTGTCAGCGACTGTTGTACAGTAATTAAACAAAATTGCAGGTAATGGATTACAAATAATCCCGAATGGATGACAAAAACAAATATATGTTTGGGTAGGAATATCGAATAACATAATTATTGTACCTTATTTCTTTGATCCAAATCTTACCGGAGCCCGATATTTACAATTTCGTCAAAGCGACTTACTTCTTACTCTGGCAGTTTCTTTCCCAAATCCAAATCAGCCTGATTTGCTATATAAACAGATTTGGGTTCAACAGGATGGTGCTCCGCCTGATTTTGCGCGACAAGTGCGTGAATATTTAAATACCCAATTTCCGGACATTGGTTTGGTCGAAGGGGATCCATAGATTGGCCTGCAAGATTCCCAGATATTAATTACTCCACTGGATTTTTTCCTTTTGATATAGCGTATAGGGCATACATGGCCAACATCCGGCCCGCGTAATGAATTTATGAGGCCCGCGAGTAATTTTTCAATATTTACGTTTGCCTGACACTTATATAGTATTAATCAAATAAATTAAAAATATTTCTGGTTTTTCATATGAATTAAACTTTTCGTGCATATTTGTTATCTATAAACACACTACAAACTCTATAATCTATGTATTTGAAGTTGAACAGTACGCCAGTTCATTCAATGCTTTCCGTAAGTAGCAAACTTGTTAGTAATAACTTGGTCACTTGGAAGTTCGTGTTTTGTTTCCCTGGCAGACACTTGGTGTAACCCTGGCAGACGCGTGCGCGGCCCGGGGTAAGCCTTATTTCTACTAGAAATAAGGTCCACCGAACCTGCGCGTACCCCCACTAGGGTTATAAATATCTTAAAATATCTCTAGTAGCCGGTTGTTTTCAGGCTTTAGTGCTCGCTACCACCCAGTGTAGTTTACATCATCGGCTCTGCGTTATTTGTATTATATTATATATATATATATATATATATATATATATATATATATATATATATATATATATATATATATATATATATATATATATATATATATATATATATATATATATATATATATATATATATATATATATATATATATATATATATATATATATATATATATATATATATATATATATATATGGGTTACGTGACGTCGCAGTGGTGTTTTATTATGGCAAATATTTTACTGGACCGCTTAGATCCAGTCACGCGTAAACTGTTTGAACAAAAGCATTCATCTAATGAAATGCCCACATACGGTGACATTTATAATTTTCTTGAGCAGCACTGCGCCGCGTTAGAGTCGCTCGAGTTATCACTAAAACAAAACGTTCCGCCGAAATCCAATCGTTCGAACTTTACGCGATCCCCTCGTAAACGTACTAACGTCTTTTTTACAAATAAAAGTCAACGACCTTTATCGTTAAAACAGAACACATGTTTTTGGTGCAAGAAAGGTCATTTGATATACAGATGCGATGCCTTTTTGGCTCAACCGGTGCACGAACGCGTTAATTTCATTAAAAATAACAAAGGTTGCACTAATTGCTTGACAAACTTACATGTCGTGGCCCAATGTTCTTCACAGAAAAGATGCAGACATTGCGGTTACAATCATCTTAGCCTTTTATGTTTAAAAGGCAACCCTTCCCCTCCCCCCGGATCACCAGTTTCGGAATCTCGGAGTATGCAAGAATCAGACGAACTGACTCTACACAGAAATATCACTGTCGGCATAGCTCTAAATGATCACGATACCCTGCTTTCGACCGCGTTATTACATATTCGTGACGTTCATGGGAATTGGCATCCAATTCGCGCTATTCTAGATTCGGGTGCTCAAACCTCATTTCTTACAAAAAGGTGCGCTACAATGCTGGGTCTTTCTAAATACAATATTTCAATAAGTATTAACGGCTTAGAAAGTATGAGTATGTCCGCATACAGCGCGGTACATTGCGAAATTGCGCCACTTGCCACCAAATCACACACGTTTCATGTAGAAACTGTTGTAGTCGATCAAATTTGTAACAAAATGCCAAACATGTCGTTTGATCCAAATTCTTTGGAATTTTTAAAAGAACTAAAGCTCGCTGATCCTCAATGGTATACTCAATCCGAAGTACAACTTCTTATTGGTGCTGAAATTTATGGATCTCTTATACAGGACGGTCATCTTTACTTTGGACCCAATGTCCCTACTTGCTTAAATACAGTTTTCGGTTCGACCTTAATCGGTGAAATGCCTTTGGATGCCGGCCCATCCAATTCTAAAACCATATCCGCGTATTTTACTACGGTGTCAAATATCGACCTAAATAATGCCCTACAAAAATTCTGGGAAACCGAGGAAATTCCCAATGTGCTTCAAAAGCCACCTTCAGATATTTATTGCGAAAAATACTATGCAGATACAACTACCCGCGATACGAACGGTAGATATACAGTTTCTTTGCCATTCCGAATCACATCTCCGGATTTTGGAGACACCCGAGCTCTCACCCTTAAGCGGTTTTACTCTTTAGAAAACCGGTTGCTACGTAACAAAGACTTATACCATTCCTATTCCGAGATCATGGAGGAATATTTAGCCATGGGCCATATGCGTCCGGTTTCGCGCCCCAGCGATGAACATTTGCACGAATATTTTTATATCGGGCATCTCGCGGTTATAAAAGAAGATTCTCGAAGTACTCCCGTACGGATTGTATTCGATGCGTCAAGCCATGCAACCAATAAGCCAAGTCTAAATCAGGTGTTATACGCGGGTCCTAAGTTACAACGCGATTTGGTAACCATTCTGCTTAATTTTCGACTACATAAATATTGTTTCGTCACTGACATTTCAAAAATGTATCGCATGATAAATGTTGAATCAAGTCAAAGGAAATACCAAAGAATTTTGTGGCGTTTTAATCCCGAGGATCCAGTGTCCGATTACGAATTACAAACCGTAACTTTTGGGATAAATTGCTCTCCATACTTGGCGATTCGAACGCTGTTACAATTAGCTGATGATTATCACGACCTACCCCTCGCTTCTAAGATTCTAAAAGAGTCGGTTTATATAGATGATTGTGCGGTTTCTTGTCCAGATTTAGAGCAACTTTCGCTTATGAAAAACCAGCTAATAGAACTGCTCCGTCGGGGAGGTTTCGAACTTAAAAAATGGGCTTCCAATGAACCTAAATTACTCGCGGATTTACCAGAAACCCACGTAGGGATTCGCGACTTTTCCCTCGATTTGGAGAATGTTAAAAATACTAGGTTTGCGGTGGGATCCGCAAACAGACCTTTTTTTTTACTCTTTTACTTGCACTTCTAAATTATGCACCAAAAGAAATTTACTTAGTACACTTGCTAGATGTTATGATCCACTAGGTATGCTTACCCCGGTCACATTTCTGGCAAAAACTCTAATTCAATACTTGTGGCAATTGAAATTGGATTGGGATGAGCTTGCACCCGCGGACATTATTTTAAAATGGAAAACATTCGTCAGCGAACTTAATTTGTTTTCGGATTTTAAAATACCCCGTTCGATTGACCTTTCGAATTCCATTTTTTGTCAGATTGTGGGCTTCTGCGACGCGCCTGAGCGAGGCATGTGCGCCACTATATTTTTTCGCGTTTCGAACCAGGATGGCACCTACAAATCGTACTTTGTGTGCGCAAAGTCGAAAGTAGCGCCAGTTAAGAGAATTAGCCTTCCAAGATTAGAACTTTGTTCTGCGGTATTACTTGCCAAATTAATGCATTTTGTACAACGCTCCTTTGCTAACAAGATAATTTTCCAAAACGTCATCGCCTTTACGGATAGTACCGTCGCCCTTTCGTGGATAAAAGGTGCTTCTTTCGGGTGGAAAACTTTCGTGGCCAACCGGGTGACTTATATTCAAGAAAAAATTGCGGCTTACGACTGGAACCACGTTCCGTCCGAATTCAACGCCGCGGATCCCGGGTCACGTGGTTTACTACCCTCGGATTTAATACAATGTACGCTTTGGTGGCAGGGACCCGCATTTCTTCGCACTTCGCAAGAATTGTGGGAATTTACTAAAATTAAAATCGAAACCCCTTCCGAAGCTTTCGAAGAAGAGCGCAGAATTGTACTCACGTCGACGATAACACCACACTTTTTAGACACTATGTTAAACAACATCTCTAATGCTAGAAAACTTATTCGGGTTTTAGGCTACGTTCTAAGATTTATACATAATATTCGTTCCAAAACATTTTACGCACCAAAGGTTCTTACTGCTCCTTCATGGCTACTCTTTTTCGAATTACAAAGCGCAACTAACACCTTTGTTAAACATATTCAACAGAGATATTTTGATAACGAAATTTCAATCCTCAAAAAAGGTAAACGTCTACCTAAAGTTTTCAGGAAGCTCAATCCGTTCTTAGATCAAAATGATATTTGGCGTGTTGGCGGACGTCTATGTAATTCAGAACTAGATTACGATAAAAAATATCCGATACTCTTACCCAGAAATTCTCGGTTTACAGATTTACTTATTAAGGATTTGCACGAGAAATATATGCATACCGGCGTACAAACCACACTCTTTCTACTTTTCCAAAATTACTGGATATGTATATACGCAAAATAATTTCGCGTTGTATCACTTGCTGGCGTACGCACCCGACGCCTTTTCAGCCCCTTCTGGGAAACTTGCCAAAATTTCGGGTTTCACAAGCCAAAGCTTTTGAAAACGTGGGTGTTGATCTAACGGGAAGTTTTCCTATTACCATGAATCGCTTACGCGGCGCCAAGAGACTTAAAGCCTACATCGTACTGTTTATTTGCTGCTGCACTAAAGCAGTGCACTTGGAAATTGTCTCCGATTTATCGGCTGATACTTTTTTAGCCGCATTTCGACGTTTCATGGCACGGCGTGGCCGCGTCAGTAACGTTTACTCGGACAACGGCACTAATTTTGTTGCCGCCTCAAAACATCTTAAAGAAATCTATGCTCACGTAGCTATACACGAGTCAATCCGATGGCATTTCAACCCTCCTTCTGCACCCCATATGGGGGGCCTATGGGAAAGTAACATTAAGTCGGCGAAAACACATTTACTGGGTGTTATCGGCGAACAAATTCTTACCTTTGAGGAGCTTTACACTTGCACGACTCAAGTCGAAGCTATCTTGAACTCTAGACCCTTATGTCCCGTTAGCACGGACCCAAGCGATTTGACCGCGTTGACGCCGGGCCATTTTTTATCCTTAGAGCCTCTGTCGGTTATTCCAAATCCCGATACAAGTCAGTTAAGGACGGCAAAGGGTTTGATTAAGCGACCCCTAGTTAAGCTTTGCCCTCTTCCTCTAGCGATCTGATTCAGAAAATAACCTTCCGATCCCTCAGGTATTTTCAGGGAGGGCGGAATGTTCTGTCTCCATTTACTTTTGTATTTCTTTTTCTTTTTTTATCTTACTTTTATATAACTTTACGAATGATTTTTTTGTTTACGTTGGGTGGTATTCATTCACTTTAGGAAGTGCTTTGGGTTTCGGGATATAGTTTAATTATTATTATTTTGTGCGTATATACATGCCTTGACAACTGTATACTCCGTCTTGTTCTCCCTCCTTTATTCCCGGGAAACCTTTCCTTCTTTTATATATACATTTTTTATTACTCCATTTTTACCTGCCTCCGGCACTTCGCGAGCGGCCGTGCCGGAATCGAGAATTGCGCGTTGCGAGTCGGAAATTTCAACACCTGTTTTGAAAAGCAGTGTGCAACACCCTCAAGAGTCGAACCCTCCGGTAGAACCGTGCAGCGCATTCCCTTCAACCCAGCACATCCTCCACAAGGAAATTTGGGGTAAGTCAGGGCATGATTACGGTCATTTTACTTCGGATTCGGGGAACCAGAGTGATCTTGGAATTACAGATTGGTACCAACAAATTTATACACAAATTTGTTGCGTAACCGAACACAAATTATTGTTCCTTCGAGCCGGATTCTCTGTGAGCCGAATCCTTACTCTTGAGACATTGCATAACCGCTTATTTACTCAAGAATATTTTTCCTTTTATTCATTTTACTTTTCCAAAGCACATCCTAGGTTATTACTTATTTCTTCAATATACTACTATGCCTTCGTATGCCCCCTTGAAAATGGTGTCATAAACTCTCAATATACAAATTGAGAAACGACCGATTCTAAATCAAAAAATACATCTTGATTTCTGCTATTTGCACGTGTATGTAGGTTGTCCTCCACAAGGAAATTTGGGGTAAGTCAGGGCATGATTACGGTCATTTTACTTCGGATTCGGGGAACCAGAGTGATCTTGGAATTACAGATAGCCACCACAGAAATTAAACCTGACATTAAAAAGATTATAAACGAGGCAAACCGCCTCAATATTTCTCATTAATTATTATAGTACATTTGTTATTATTAAAATGTTTATTTTGTATTATTCTATATAGATATTTGCTGTAAGTTACCTGTGATTTATATGTATTCATACATAGAAGTGTATGTATATATATATATATATATATATATATATATATATATATATATATATATATATATATATATATATATATATATATATATATATATATATATATATATATATATATATATATATATATATATATATATATATATATATATGGTCATGGTCAAGAAACCCTAGACGATTTTCTTAGACATTTAAACTCGATACACCCTAATATACGTTTTACCATTGAGTTGGCAACTAATAATAACCTGCAATTCTTAGATATACTTATCAACTTATCAATAGAAAATCCGACCTAACATTGGGTTATTGTGTTTACAGAAAACCTACGCACACAGACCGATACCTTAATGCATGGTCAAACTAACCAAAAATCATCGGTTATCAACTCTCTTGTTTACAGAGCCGTAAAACTATCTCAGCCCGAGTCACTGAAAACAGAAACACCTTACCTCTGCTCTTCTTTCTAATAATTTCCACATTAAAGATATTAAACGTTCCATCAAAAAATACACTTCACCACAACCTTCCAATAGCAATGAGGTCGAAAGAAATCCTACACTTGCCACTGTGGTCCTTCCTTACATTCAAAACATCACTGACCATATATCAAAAGTTCTAAAGAAGTATAACGTCAAAACCAGATTTACCACTTGTCCAAAAATCTCTCAACATCTGCGGTCCGTCAAAGACAAAATACAATTTGAGACGTCAGGAGTTTACAGCATTCCATGCAAATGCGGCAAAGAATACATTGGAGATACCGGACGAAAAATATCAACTAGGCTCAAAGAACATGAAAGAGCCTTACGACTAAGACAAATTAACTCATCAGCTGTTGCCGAACACATTTATGAAACCGGGCATAAAATTTTATTTGATAAAATTAAAATTCTTGCATGGAATCAGTTCTTCTACCAACGAAAAATCCAAGAGTCTATAGAAATCTATAAACAACCTAACAATCTTAATCGCGACTCAGGTCTCTACCCGGCCCCAATCTGGGAATCAGTCATCCGAGAAGGTGTTTACGCCCCTCATTAGCGCCCCCCCCCCCCACCTCAATCAATATATATGCAGGTATAGAGTACAGAAGTTTTGTAAAAGGCAAAAATTTAATTATGTGTAGACATTCCTAGCTATTAATTTATTGTATATATTTAATGTCATTGTAATTTCTTAGTGTAATTTAATACGATTATACCCACCCAAATAAACAAAAAAATATATATTATTACCAAAATTGCCGCCAAAAACCAGCACGATGAAGATTGAGACATGCTATATGTCAGCACCTTTATTACTATTGAATGCAGGTTTTAAAACAAATCGTTTCAGGTGCTGGAAAGGTAGCCCACGCAGACGAATTAGCTTATCTCTTCAAGATATCTACATTTCCTATAACTACCGACGCCGATTTATTGACGAGACAAAGGATGGTACGCCTCTGGGCTAACTTTGCCAAAACACTGTAAGTTATTTTATTGACTCGACGACAATATCAACGATCTGTCTCTTCGTAGTTCTACGTTTAAGGGTCTAAGCAAGTTTTCATTCTAGCAATCCCATCCCTGATCAATCAGACCCGATATTGAACATCACGTGGCCCCAAGTGAATCCAGACGACATCCGCTATCTCGATATCGACACAAGTTTGACAGTAAAACCAAATAGGAAAGTTAAAGAATACGCTATGTGGAACCGCGTCTTCTATAAATATGGAACCCAGCCTTTTATAGGTTTTTGATGAAGTTTTTAAATGTTGAATAAAATTCCTTTGAGTTTTATTGATTCGTTCATCTTTTCTCCCCCGAGGAACACTCATTTTCATATGAAAAACCTTCAGTTTATTTTTAATATTGTCAAATTTTGGCTGTTTTTAAAAAACCGTTGTTGTATAGTGTCGTAAGTATGATCGAAAAAGCAGATTCTGACTAAGATTTTATCGAAATCGGCAACTATTTGACTCAGAAAGGTTGCCTTACGTCGAAATCTAATAGTTTATTAAGGTTTTCGTTACTAAAATGCCCAAAGACGCCGATTTTGACTAGAATTTGAAAGATATTGACATGAATATATAACTGTTTGTATCAAAAAATGATAGTTTAAACTGATATTTGCAGTTTTGATGCGGTTTTAGGTACGATATGAGTCGAAGAAGCCGATTTTGACTGGAATCTGTTTAAAATGACAAAGAAAAACCTATTAGCAATTCAAGGAAGTGAATTTTTAAGTAGTTATCTGCAGTTTTAATGTAGATTTCAGTTCGCTAAGTTATGAAAATGCATGTTTTGGCTATAATCTTCCGTAAATCAAGGGCGAAAACCAATTATTTGTCCCAAAAGAAGGTGTTTTAAGTATATATCTGCATTTCTAAGGTAGATTTGGGTACAATAAGAGGCGAAAAAGCAGATTCTGACCAAGGTTTTATCGAAATCGGCAACTATTTGACTCAGAAAGGTTGCCTTACGTCGAGATCTAATAGTTTATTAAGGTTTTCGTTACTAAAATGCCCAAAGACGCCGATTTTGACTAGAATTTGAAAGATATTGACATGAATATATAACTGTTTGTATCAAAAAATTATAGTTTAAACTGATATTTGCAGTTTTGATGCGGTTTTAGATACGATATGAATCGAAGAAGCCGATTTTGACTGGAATCTGTTTAAAATGACAAAGAAAAACCTATTAGCAATTCAAGGAAGTGAATTTTTAAGTAGTTATCTGCAGTTTTAATGTAGATTTCAGTTCGCTAAGTTATGAAAATGCATGTTTTGGCTATAATCTTCCGTAAATCAAGGGCGAAAACCAATTATTTGTCCCAAAAGAAGGTGGTTTAAGTATATATCTGCATTTCTAAGGTAGATTTGGGTACAATAAGAGGCGAGAAAGCAGATTCTGACTAAGATTTTATCGAAATCGGCAACTATTTGACTCAGAAAGGTTGCCTTACGTCGAAATCTAATAGTTTATTAAGGTTTTCGTTACTAAAATGCCCAAAGACGCCGATTTTGACTAGAATTTGAAAGATATTGACATGAATATATAACTGTTTGTATCAAAAAATGATAGTTTAAACTGATATTTGCAGTTTTGATGCGGTTTTAGATACGATATGAATCGAAGAAGCCGATTTTGACTGGAATCTGTTTAAAATGACAAAGAAAAACCTATTATCAATTCAAGGAAGTGAATTTTTAAGTAGTTATCTGCAGTTTTAATGTAGATTTCAGTTCGCTAAGTTATGAAAATGCATGTTTTGGTTATAATCTTCCGTAAATCAAGGGCGAAAACCAATTATTTGTCCCAAAAGAAGGTGTTTTAAGTATATATCTGCATTTCTAAGGTAGATTTGGGTACAATAAGAGGCGAAAAAGCAGATTCTGACTAAGGTTTTATCGAAATCGGCAACTATTTGACTCAGAAAGGTTGCCTTACGTCGAAATCTAATAGTTTATTAAGGTTTTCGTTACTAAAATGCCCAAAGACGCCGATTTTGACTAGAATTTGAAAGATATTGACATGAATATATAACTGTTTGTATCAAAAAATGATAGTTTAAACTGATATTTGCAGTTTTGATGCGGTTTTAGATACGATATGAATCGAAGAAGCCGATTTTGACTGGAATCTGTTTAAAATGACAAAGAAAAACCTATTATCAATTCAAGGAAGTGAATTTTTAAGTAGTTATCTGCAGTTTTAATGTAGATTTCAGTTCGCTAAGTTATGAAAATGCATGTTTTGGCTATAATCTTCCGTAAATCAAGGGCGAAAACCAATTATTTGTCCCAAAAGAAGGTGTTTTAAGTATATATCTGCATTTCTAAGGTAGATTTGGGTACAATAAGA